ATGGCAAGTGTTTCTGCTGCACAGCCCACACCGTCTTTATGCTTTTTGGACTAATCAGGCGCACACCTGATTTATCCGTCAGTTCCCACATGTCATCCAGGAGTTGGTTAATCAGTTGTCGGATCTGTTCCACTGGCCGTGTTACCCTACGACAGTGCCTTGCCAGCTCACGTGTTGTTATTGTAGCCTCCTTTTCAGGCGTTCCCGGATCGGTCGAAGCTCCAGCCGGCAACCCTATATAGGTTGCCGTCTGGACCTTCTATTGCGTGCGATCTACGTTTGATCAGAAAATACCCACCTCCCCCCCCCCAAAAAAAAACATCGACCGATCCGGGAACGCCTGAAAAGGAGGCTATTGTTATTTCTGCTGTCACCTGGGTCGCTGACCTCCGTACTTCTTCCGCAGTTCAACTTTCTTAGCTTCCCTGAGCTGCCGGTAGTCTTCTTCGTCCCACATGAATATACAGCAGCTCATTTTGGAGCAGAATGTATCATGGTGTTCCGTGGTGAGCCCCTTTGTGAACCGTCTGATGTAATGGAAGATGTCCAACTTTACGTGACATCCCCATGGGGGGGGGGCACCTGTAACGGCAAACACACCTTATCAGATGACAAGAAATCTACCAGGTGTTAAAATCCTAGACAGGTTTCTGTATCTGGTAAACAATTTGTCAACTTTTTCCACATTCTCATTTTCTGCCTGTTTTTGTTAGTTTTTAGGTGTCAATAGGATGTCATCAATAACCTCAAGATATTGTGGCATACAAGCACCAAAGTAGTACTGTAAAGAAAGACGATGTCCTGACTTCCCGACTTCCGCACACCAGCAGGACGGTCAGGTGGTGGTCGCCAAGTCAACGACATCGACGCGGTAAACCTGCACAAAGGAAGGGAGAAAAGATCAGTAACTACTCAAGATGAGGGCGGATGCTTCAAATGAAAGAAGAGCATCCACTTGTGCGACATGTCATGTTACAGTTTACATTGTCAATCAATGTTTGTACTTGACATCCCTTGCCAAAGTGGTCTGCTATGCAGCATTACTCCCTGAAACATTCATCCTGCATTACAGCCAGTATAGTGCCTAATTTCACAGTAGATTATGACTGTCCAAGGCACCTCCCTCCACTGTCAACTCTGCAGTGCCTTGAACCAATTAGTTTACCTTTCCCCTGCATTAATGCCCTCTGTCACAGTCTTTGGTTATGGTTGACCCTTACATTAACACCAGGCTCAAGTAAGCACAATGAATCCTCAACCATTTAGAACATCCTGTGTCAGCAACTGACCTCCCAAGCCTCTGAGCAGGCCTGACTGACCTAATTCAGTCTATAACCTGCCTGGCCTGAAACAGTCTGAAGTTTTACACCGGGTATATTTTCAGAAATTCTGTTGCAATTCCAACCTAAAAGAACATACATGATTAGTTACATTTAGGACTTCATCATTATACTTCAACCACCAACACCGTACATGAGCCACTATCCTCATACCAAATTTCAGGTCCTTTATTTGACCTAATATGAAGGCACAGGAGGCAATAAGTTACAATATACTTTTGGGACTTTTTTTTACAAAAAAAGCTACATTGAATTATTTTAGGGCCTGCATCCAAAAAATTAAACCAAGAATACCTGTGGAAGTATATTCCCAAGCTTGTTAAAATTTCAAGACATTTGGTAAAAAAATTTGGTGCCTGCTAGCAAATGTCTAACAAGAAGTGGAGAGAGAGAACACAATGTAGGACCAAGACAGCAAACTGATAGAGCATTCTGCTCCCCCCATAGGTCACATGACTTATGGGGGGAGCAGAATGTTCCCATACATGGTCACATGATAGATCAGACCATCCTTTGCAACTCCCCATAGCACATGTAGGAGGCTCTGTATGTATACAAATGTACAACGAGATGCAGTCACTATCAGCCCAGGCCAACAGGTCCTGGACCTTTTGATTGAGTGGTTAACAGACATTCAAAGAAAAGAAAAGACTCCTGTAGCTTGGTCAAAACAAGCCAAACTTGGAGATATGTATGGTGCTGTGTTTCAGCTCAAAGAAAACAGATTATGTTTCACCTCCTAGAAGGCACATATGTTTTCAAAGAGCACAGGATTAATTTGGTGTGACCATCCCCACTGGCAAGCTGTCAGGCAGGCTGTCAGGGGTGGAGATCACATCAGGCAACAGCTTCTGCCCCACTCCAAAAGGCCCAGATGATTAATGATGATTAATGGTCATGGCATCAATCTAGCATTACTCCCAATGTTCAGTGGGAGCTAGTTTAATGCTGGGGTAACCCCAGAAGTGATCTGATAATGACCATGTAATGCGGCATTACAGCCGCACAACTGACAACTTTGGCAAGGGTTGTATTAAAATATTTGAATGTACAATTGCCTTCAGCACAAGTACCAGAGAAGAAGACAGAGGTAGACACAGAGGCAGAAACCACAGCTAACTGTCTGTGGCTGGTCACCAACACAAAACCCTGCCCCAAGTGTAAGGTCTACATCCAGAAAAATGAGGGCTGCAACCACATGAAGTGTACCAAGGTGACTAGATCATTCTTGCTGTTTGTAGATGTTTAAGATACTAAGACCCCATTCACACTCAAAAATCTATTCGATTAACGGGGCTATACAAATAGAAAATTGTCCATCCAAATCATTTTTTTGGAGTGTGAACGCTCCAAATCACTTAGATTTTACCCGCATTGATTCCAAAATAATCCACCTCGAGAAGGTGGTTTGAGACACTAGCGGTGGATTTGAATTAGACAAAACCGCGAGTGTCAATGCAAAGTGAGTTGGCTTCTGAGTTAGATTCGGTAGTGTGACGTCATTGCAAGTGGTCCTACCAATCAGAGCGTAAAACACAAGCTGCTATTTACATATTCATGACAAAATGGCATAGACAATTTTCTATTTGGATAGCCCTGTTAATCGAATAGATTTTTTGAGTGTGAATGAGATCTTAGTAACTTCAGGAAAGTGAAGCTTTCTGTGCGATCAGGTCTTGAGTTATCTTGAAGAAGTAACAAAAGTTCTTTAAATTCAATCCTTGTTACTTCAGAAGTTTCCAGGTATGGAAGTATAGTTTTAGGTGGCTGAGTGGTGGTGGGTTTGTGTGGCTGTCCAACCCATCAGAGTAGGCTCACAGCACACGGGTGGGTTAGATTGACAGGCAGGATGACAAAAGTCAAAAGATCAAAAAGTCAAAAACGAGATCAAAAGTTCAGACATAGGAAACAGGGTGAATTTGAAGGTCCCAGAAAACAAAAAGATACTTTTAGATTATTAGGAAGTCTAAAATCTCTGATTTCTTGTGTGAAAAAAAACTTAAATGTTACAATTATAATAATATTTTGTGTCTCCAGTGTAAGTATGACCACCACTGGGTGTGTGTTATTGCCTTCGGCAGCAGGCTATGAAATCACTTTGCTATATTGTGGCATAACTCTTGAAGGCCTGTTTTGATGTTCATGATTTTTGGCAGGCAGGTTACCATTGGAGAGACCAAGGTCAAGTTCAAAAATGGGTCTCGTGGGGGTCCCTACGTCACTGCAGTGGGCCTTTTCTGTGTGTGGTTTTTATTGTTAACAAGTCATAACTGAAGTATGTGTGAATGGATGTTCATGATTTTTGGTAGGCAAGTTACCGTTGTGGAGGCCAAGGTTAAGTTCATGTTATATTTTGTGTCCGCAGTGTAAGTATGACTTCTGCTGGGTATGCCTGGAGGACTGGGAGAAACACAGCTCCTCCACAGGTGGTTACTTCAGGTGTAACAGGTACGAGGTGGTGCAGAAGGTGGAGGAGGAGACCAAACTACTCACAGAGGAGGTGAGAAACATACATAGTGTCTATTGCATTCCTGTAGTCCTTGTCATATGCTGCTGTGTTGCATGTTTTTTCAATGATTTGTATCATACCCAGGCTGTGATAACCGTGAAACTATATGCCAACCCTGAAGTTCTACGTACGATCTACTTTAACTTACTACATGTATCTGATAACGTTAGTATACAGGATAAAGAGTGGATATACAATTTATTACAAATTAAATAGGAAAGAGAAACATGGTAACTGCTAACCTATTCTATTCTATTATACTATTCTAGCCAAGCTATTACTATTGGGGGTTTGACTTCTTCTCAGGAGGCAGTGGGAGATGAATTGTCCGACTCTTTGAAAATAAGTCAGTTGGAAGACTTTAGCAGTAATGTAGTGTTTTGTTGTTTGTTGAGATGTAAAAAACTTGAGGAAATATTGGCGACACAATATGAACCCTGACTTCATTTTGATTCAAGGCTTGTGTCTCTATTCAGAACTGACAACTGGTTTTTGTTTTTTCTCCAGGCAAGAGAAAAGAATGAGAAGGCACAAGAACTCAGCCGTCTGATGCACTACTACACCAGGTTCAAAAACCACGACAACAGCTTTAGAGTGAGCTCACACACTTTATTCACAATCTAAACTCGTAAACTAAAAAGTTTTATTCACAATCTAAACTCGAACACTCTTTCTAGGAGAATTTCCCATGCTACTATATAGTAAGCTAAAAAATTTGTGAAAAAAGTGAAAAGTGATTTCAACATGTCATTTTTCATCTGCTATAGTAAAATATTGGGTGCTGAGAACCATTGTTAATACATTACTTTGCAGGACAATTAATATTATCATGTGTACGAAAGATATCCTGAACTAGAAAAGGCAACATTTGCAAAGCGAATGCATAATGTTTACCATATGGTCTGCTCTGTTAGTTCTTACTCAAATTCATATATATGGTGACAGGAGTCTAAATCCCTCCTGCTATAAAATTGCAACATGATGTAACACAACTCTAGTTACCATGGTGACAGACGTCTGGTTCAGGTCATTGACCTTATTCGTTTGGAACGTAAGAAGAAGAAGAGGAAGAAACTGAGCAAAAATAATGTTTTCCTTTGGTAAACATTAATTACAGTCTAAATCCCTCCTGCTATAAAACTGCAACATGATGTAACCCAACACTAGTTACCATGGTGACAGATGTCTAGTTCAGGTCATTGACCTTATTGGTTTGGAGATTTACTGAAGAAGAAAAGGAGGAAACAGGGCAAAAACAATGTTTTCCTTCGTTTAACATAATTACTGTAACAGTCTAAATCCCTCCTGCTATAAAATTGCAACATGATGCCCAACTTTTGCAACATGATTGTAACCCAACACTACCATGGTGACAGACGTCTGGTTCAGGTCATTGACCTTATTGGTTTGGAGAAGAAGAAGAGGAAACAGAGCAGAATCAAGATGTTTTCCTTTGGTAAACATAATTACAGAATGATCCCCCTCCCCCTATATTGTCCACAGATAGAGGAAGCCTACCTGCGGACTGCCATGAGAAAGATGAACGACCTTGCCCTGGCAGCCGCAAGTACAGGTAAATGTAAGGACCTGCTCTCTTCCTTCCTTCTGTCCTTTCTCATACTGTATATTCTACAAACTGTGTTAGCTAAAAAAACCTTCAGTAATCATTGCTGCCCTATCTTTGCATCATAATATTTGTAGAACAGCAAATTTGGATAGAAGTTTGATGTAAAAGTGTTCCTGGGTAAACCTAGCTATCATCATTTTTCAGATTCAGATGTCACATTACATACTGATAGGGGGAGGGGGGAAAGAGAGATTCAGATTCAGATTTTATTGAATATCGACTGGCATGTCACATTAAGTGCATGAAATATGTCGAGTATTTACAACTTGCGCCCAGTTATTACAAAATAATAGATAACATAAAAACCTACATATATCTGTATCTTTAGCGATAAAATACAACATAAAAACTTGTCACTTCATTTACCCAATGGCATATTAACATTATACAGATTCCTATAGACAAGTTATATACGTGTACATGACTTTGCAACAACTTCATTGCGCTTTGCATGCTTGAGTCAAAAGTTGTGACTTTTCTTTCTTATTCATCTGCATGTACATCTTTGCTTATTCTAAACTACTATAATTATATTAATTGTACTAAGTCTTGAATATCTAAGCCTGTTGTTTATAAAATTACATGTATATTTACCTCTGGGGAAGCAGATATCCTTCCGCGGAAGGGTTTTGTAAGAGATTTAGATTTTCATGTTCGCAGCTGTTTCTCGCGTTTGGGTGGACGGATTCTTTTGAGACTCGGTATATGTTTTGCTATTGGGCTGCAGATGATGCACATTCTTTTGTTTTTAATGTGTTTTCGGGTGAGAAAATGGTGCCTTTTGGTGGCCCCAAAACACCCCTTTGAGCGTGAAAGTGGTCGCGACCGTTGACCTTTGGCGTGTTTAAGATATTCTCCGTCTGGTCCACATATATGACCCCTCACACAGAGGGATGTCCGGTCTCAATAAATTCTTTGTTTAAAACCCTGTATAAAAATTATACAATAAAAAGCCCGATTTTACTTGTTGTGTCTTTTTTTGCTTAAATGTACTGTGATGATATGAATCATTTTTCATTAAGGATTTTGACATATATATGTAATGTATTTTAAGTTTGTATTTCTTGTAATTCTGTAGAAGCTTACTGTGATGTAAGTAGATGACTTGTGAAACTCAGACGTTGTTGCGCTGGTTTGCAGTTGGGAACCAGAGGGTGAGTACCAAGTTTGTGGAGGAAGCCATCCGTGAACTGCTGTCTGCCCGGCGTGTGCTGAAGTTCTCCTACTGCTATGGCTACTATGTAGGAGATGCCAGGAAAAGGAGGATATTTGAAGATATCCAGGTTAGAAGCCTTTATTATGTTAACATGAGTAATACTTGTACTAGTAATTACCTCCATGAAATGTGTCATGGAGGTTATATTTTCAGTTGCGTTTATCTGTCCGTCTGTCCTTCTGTCCGTCTGTTGGTCAACAAGATAACTCAAGAACGCCTGGATGGATTGGTTTCATACTTGGTGTGTTGGTAGGGTGTGACGAAAACTGGAAATGATTAGATTTTGGTCCCCCTAGTGGCTTCCCTTGGTACTGCAGCGCAACTTCCGGTTTTGATATCTCGCGATCTGGACATGCTAGGGTCATAAAATTTTGATGGAAGGTAGCTCTCATGCTTGGGAAGAAGTCACATGAGTTTGGGCCCCCTAGCAGCTTGTTCTGGAACTGCAGGGCACTTTCTGGCGAAATGTTTAAAAGCCAATAAGTCCAGACAGGAACAACATATGTCTTCATTATTTTTGGTGTGTAGGTAGCTGAGAGAGAGATGTACATAATTAAATGCAAATTATACAAATGAGGAGTTTATTTGCATAATTAATGAGGAAATTCTATAATTACAGTGTTTTACATTATACTACTTACATACATGTAATGTATGTAACCTATGGCAGGCGGAACTTCAACAGATACTAATTATGCAAATGATGACCTAATTTGCATAATTAATGCGAAAATTCTATGATTTCGTAATGGTGAATGATGAGAATGTCATACTTGGGACATCTGTAAGTTAATCAAAAGTTAACATACATCACGATGCATATATCATGTTAATGCAGAGGTCATTTTCACAATTAAAGAAGAAATTTACATTTACATATCAAGATCATATTTCATGGAGGTATGAGATCTCGGAATTCTAGTTTTTGTTTTATTTTTGTTTATAGTGTATATATCAATTAATACAACTCAACAACATCATTTATACAACTCAACAACGAAAACTTTTTGAGTGACCATTCTGTATTAAAGTCGTTCTGCACAACTTAGGGTTTCTGATATGTAAAGTTTTACAGAAAAAAACATGATACTTTGTGTGAAGTCTTACACTAAGTCTTTGAAATCACTGAAGAAAAATGAGAATATGATAGATGTCAAGTCTTCTCATGCCTATTCTATCGTTAAGAACTTGTCTGGGAAACTTTTGATGGAAAGTAACACTGAACTAGAAAGGTCGACATTTGCTTTGGAGCAAATGCAGCAGATGGCTTCACCACATCCCCCATACAAATAATAGGCCTGTCCCCCTCCTGCACAAATGTCCCCCTCCTCCCCCCCTGTCCAAAATGTGAAGTGTTCCAGCAGTCCATACCTCTATGCAGAAATGGAATTTTCCAACGCCTACTGTAAATGTAAGGTCATTAAGGCCCAAAATTGAATCTGTTTTACGACATGGCAGGGAAAGAAACAACAATTTTAATTATCGCTTCACAATTTCAATTATGGCTCTTGGTGTGGTGAAGCCATGATTAAAGGAGTTTTCTGACTTCCCCACTTCTGTGTGAATTCTAACAGACGGAACTAGAGGAGGCTACAGAGACGCTGTCCCAGATGATAGCGAGGCCGTACCTCCGTACGCCGAGGTCAAAGATCATCCAGGGCGCCCAGCTGACTCAGCGGAAACGACACGACTTCCTGGCGGCAGTAGAGAAGGGCCTTCTGCCACCGGAGACTCCGCCATCAGAAAGGAGAAGGATGTGAGTTTTGGGCTGTAGTTTTGTTTTTACCACTGTGTACAGAGGTTTTGTTTGCAGTGTCTGTGTCTGCTAGGCACATTGGGGACGTTCACAGTTAAGTCAAAGGTTCCAGAAAAGGTTGTCTTGTTTCCTACCTTCAATTTCCTGCTATATACTAGATAGTGAGTAAAGAGACTCTTTTTACACAACAAAGTCTCCTATTCAGCCAACGTTTCAGTGACCATCTGTCACCTTCCTCAGGGCAATTCTGACTGGTTCACTTTGCATTGCAGCACATACATTTCCCTGTAATCCAATTATGCATATGTGTATATAATGTAAATATTGTACATTTGGGAATCTTTAGCAGCGCCACCTGTGCTGCAGTGGGAAAACAGTCTCTGTATTCAGTGTCTTACCAACCTGAAGAAACTATTCATGGATGCATGTACATCGTAGATGTACACATAGAATCAGGAAGAAATTCACAACGTTAAGTAAAACAAGAACACATTTACTGTAAATGTTCCAGTTTTTTCTGTGGCTGTAAACATTTTGAATGAGACAAAGACTTAGCATGTTCCTCACATGAGGTCTTTATTCTTCCCTTTCCAGTCTGATGGACTTGTTCAGGCCAAGGTTCTTCGAGGAGGAAGACGAGGAATCACTACAAGATGTAAGATTCAATAGTCCTCCCACCAAAGTCTAGTGTGTTACATCCACATATACTACTTTCTTTGTTCCTACAGTAATTACATGTAAATGTGTGCAGATGAATGTGTACTTGTATTAATGAAAAATCTGTCCTGTTGTTTTGATCCATTGTGACAATTAAAAGTTAGTAGTCAGAATATTCCTCAATCAGTGACTGTTTTTGAAAGGTAGAAACTCGTACCTCCAATTTTTAGTGGCAATTAAAATATTTTGTACGTAGGTCTAGGAATTTCATACTATGTCTATTATAGATAGACTTCTACAAATTAGAATTGGTAGTGAATTACTACTGACTCAGAGATAGTTACATTGTAATGTTACTACTTGGTACATCTTCTTGGTTTTGGTTTTAATGATCATTCTGGCATACTCATTTTTACCCGAATGAAGTGAGGAAAGTTGTGTGAAGTGACTTTCCCAAGGGCACAAGGTTGGTGACTTGGCAGGATTCGAACTTGGGACCTCTTGGTTCTGAGTCGAATGCTCTGCCATTGCGCCACACAATCCCACAAAAATCCTTTGTAAATACATAGTGTTTCTACCCCTTCCAGGAGGATGCTGCCCTAGCCCAAGCCATCCTGGCCTCCCTCCGCGATGCCTTCCCCCAGGAGCCCCCCACCCCACCTCAGGGGGACAGCAGTACCCAGAGCTCTGACGAACCCAGCCCGAACCCTGCCACCAGGCTGGCTAGTACAGGAGCCAGTCCTACCAGAGGTTTGTGTTCTCAGTATCCTTGCCTGCCAGTTATTAGCCAATCACGGTGGCTCACACAGTCAAGAAACATTGTGATTGGCTGGTAACAGGAGGGGAGTATTTTGAATTTCGCTCCGATGAACCCAGCCCCAACCCTGCCACCAGACTGGCTAGTACAGGAGCCAGTCCTACCAGAGGTTTGTGTTCACAGTATTCATTCCTGCCAGTTATTAGCCAATCACGGTGGCTCTCACAGTCAAGAAACATTGTGATTGGCTGGTAACAGGAGGGGAGTATTTTGAATTTCGCTCCGATGAACCCAGCCCCAACCCTGCCACCAGGCTGGCTAGTACAGGAGCCAGTCCTACCAGAGGTTTGTGTTCTCAGTATTCTTTCCTGCCAGTTACTAGCCAATCACGGTGGCTCTCACAGTCAAGAAACAACGTGATTGGCTGGTAACAGGAGGGGAGTATTTTGAATTTCGCTCTGATGAACCCAGCCCCAACCCTGCCACCAGGCTGGCCAGTACAGGAGCCAGTCCTACCAGAGGTTTGTGTTCTCAGCATTCTTTCCTGCCAGTTATTAGCCAATCACGGTGGCTCACACAGACAAGAAACATTGTGATTGGCTGGTAACATGCAGGAGTATTCGATTGGCTGATGACCCTGGTCAATCATGTTGTCTCTTACAGTCAAGATTATGATTGGCAGGTAACTTTTTCTTCCAGCAACAGGAAGGGGAGTATCTGATTTGTTTGTTGGCTAATTAACCATGTCTAACCAGCAGAATGTACTGCACCTGTGCAAAACCCTGATTTTCATTGGATTTTTGGTCATCATTGCATTAGAATTTTGCCTGTTGCAGAGGATAACTTTTCCAACATAACATTTGGAAACTACAGTCAGGATGTTAACCTTATATACACGAATAAGACCTTACAATGTATATGAGACGTTCTGCTAAAGTGCTATGTACAACATATGACAGGTTTTGCAAATTAAGGTGCAGTACGTTCTGCCGATGTGCGGGTCTAACCTGTATAGATGGAAGAATTGCAGGCTGGTATGCCAGGGCTGTAGTCTGCTATGTACATATTTATCTGTTTCCTAAAAAGAATAGCTGTAGCCACTTTAAGAAAAGGTTGAGATGAAAATTTGAATCTGTTTGTATGAAAATAAAGATAATTCCATCAAGTGTAGTGCTCCCAATGGACCCAACTCTACGTCTTATAGGCTGTGGCAGGCCCTGCATGATGCACGGACTATCAGGGAAAAACTAGACTTTTCAGAGAAGGTTATATTTGGAAAGGAATTTCGAATCTTTTCTCTGCTTTAAATGAAAAAAATGATTTTCTCTGTTGTAGTCCCGCCAGTAGACCCTACCCTGTGTCTGCGGCTAGGCTGTGGTAGGCCCCGGGCAGTGCACCGGCAGTCAGGGAGACCTCACGACTTCTGCAGCCTCAGGTGTCTGCAGCTGGCTAGGAGGAGAGGCAGGAGGGGGAGGAACAGTACGTATCTGTGGGGAGTCATTAATGAGGGATGGTTCAGTAATGATTAAAGGGGGGAACACTTTCTAACTGTATTCAGGAAATCATAAATAAAGTTAGACCTATGAAAAAAATGTTGTGTTTCCTGTTTCCCAACAGACTCTAGAAAAACCTGCAGACCCTAGACTTGTTTTGTGTGTGGACCCCTGCAAGGGACACAAGTAATAAATTTTTCAAGCTGATCAACCTTTTCTAGCTCCATGATCTGACACCTGAGTGATAAAATGTTGTACAATAATTGGTTTTCTAACATTGACATTGAAAATGAATTAGTGTCCTAATGCAAGTTTTACTTTGTTAAAATTTTTGGAGTGCACCATATGAAACAAAACCTAATTGCATGTTCCCCATTGCTCCTCTTCTGAACTTGAATCTAAAATGAGAACTAACTTTAAAATCTTATTAATTACTACAACAAAGATTTAATTATTTTTCTGATACTTAGAGACCAAGAATATCCAGTATACTATTATATACTTCTAATGTTAAAAATTCCTACAAAAATATTTGGGTGAGTGAGTGCACCCACAGAAAAAAAAATTAGGTGCACAACTCCAATTTTGGGTGCACATGGACCCAGTATTTCAAGCCCTGCATATAGGTACAAAATACATACATAAGAGTTAGAGTTAGCATTGTGATTAACCTTTGTTTTTACTCTATTAGGCCTGGACCTCCCCTGGCACTTGCTGGAGTTGGAGCCACCCCCCACCCCACCCCGGAGGACAGACTCCCTACCCCCCCTGCCCCCCACCCCCC